CCCGCGCACTGGCAAACAAAAGGCGGGGCGGGCGGGCAGCGTTACCGTTGAGCCGGACGGTGAACTGGCGGCGCCGGCGGTCGTGCTCCACGCGGATGGGGCAGCCCTGCTCCAGCGCGCCCAGCGGCACGGCAGCCGCCGAGTGCGCCATAGCGGGGGCTGCGGCCGCGGAGACCCGGAGAGCGCGGGGCGGACGGATGAACGCAGGCGGCGGCGCAGAATCTGACACTCGGCGGCGGCGCGGCGGCAGCAACAAAAAGGGGGGGGGGCCAGGAAATCAGCTGTGAGTCACGTGTAGCGCGCGGCCAATGAGCCCGCGGCCTTTTTGTTTTGATACATTCCATTCGGCTCTTAAAGGGCCCACACGCCCCGCTGGCGGCGTGCCGCTTTCAGCTGCAACAAAACAACGCGGCCCCTTGGCGCCGGCGCTGCTTTGCCGTCCTGCTTTTGCCCTATGAGCAACTCCGGGACGAGCGCACCGATCTTCCTCTAAAAGATGCAACAACCTCTAGGGAGATTCTCGCTGTCCCCGCGACAGCCCATTTATGAAGCATTTGCTGTGTGCGCGGCCTGTACATTGACACGTCCTGTTACACAGGAAGCGCTCAGTAAGGCGTCTTACACTTGGTGAAAATTCTCACAAGGAAGATAAATAAGTATGCCTGGCTCCATTGTGCAGGTGGGCACACCCAGGCTAAGGGCAGAGATGCGCTCTAGGTTACAAGCAGCTGGGTGGCGGGGTGGAGATTGGTCTTGGGCTTCCATCTCCCTGCGAACAGCTGTGGCTACTGAGGAAGCATTAGCCACAGAAGACTTGTTGGGGATAGTGGTGAAATGCTACTTGCCACTAGAGAGGCCACAGCCCGCTCTGCCGGTGGGGAGGCAAAGATACCTTTTCCGGATTCCTGGAAAAGATTTGCCGGCGGACACAGGATTCTTGGGGCCCAAACTTTTTATTTGAAAGGGGGCTTAATTAGGTCCCGAAGCCTTGCCCCTCCCATCCGTAGCTGCACGCTGCAGGCTACTCTTACTGTTTTGTTAACGACCTGTAAATTTGATGCTCACAACCATGTGACCACCACCCCAAAGAACATAGGGTCTCGCTGGGAGAGCTAGGCCTCTGAGGTCTGCTGAAGCCCCTTTCTTGTCAGTGCTAACATTGTGTGGATACAGTTACCCCTGATATTTAGTGTGAGTGGCCGAATAGCTTTTCCTTGACATCCTATACATGAAATCAAAACGTGCGCGTGTGTGTGTGTGTGTGTGTGTGTGTGTGTGGTACTATGTTTGAACCCAGGGCCTTCACACTAGGCTACATCATGACCCCTTTAATTTTTTTTTTCCATTTTTTTGGTATCAGGGATCAAACTCAGGACCTTATGCTTGCCAGGCAGGTGCTTATGCTGCTGACCTGGCCCATGACCCCTTTTAAATTTAATTTTTACAACTGTTAGACCTGGCCCATGACCCCTTTTAAATTTAATTTTTACAACTGTTAGAAAGGGTCTTGATGAGTTGCCCAGGCTCAGCTGCTACTTGTGATTCTCCGATCACAAGCTGGATCTGAGGGTCTCGGAGGCTGAAATAAGGACTTTAACCCACTTCTATAATAGATGTCCCCAGGCTCACTAACTCGATGCTCCAGGAAAAGAGGTGAGAAGGATTTGTTAGAGGAAGACACAAGCTGCACCGTAGGGCGGATGTGGGTGCCCTGAGAAATGAGGCCAGGTGCGGATGGGCACTGGCAGGCCTCTCTGTGTTTGGGGAGGCAGACGTCTGTGGAACTGGATCATCTGAAGTCTTAGTCTTAGAGGGTGGGAGAGGATGGCCCACCCTTAGTGAGCTTTTCCTAGCGGAAGTGACCAAAGGGTGGTTTCTTCACGGGTGGAGGAGAACCATTTGCAAGTAAAAGGGAGTGGACAGACCTGTTTACAGCTGAAGCAGTTGCTGTTTTGGGAGAAGGAAAGACAGTAAATAAACCTGTCCAGTAGTCTGCAGCTGCAGTTTTTCCTTAAAATGGAATTTTAAAGACTTGGATTTCTTTGTCTCCTTTTTTACCTATTCCTTTTATCCTACCTCAGCTCCCCAGAGTGCTGGGATTACAGGGGTGTACCACCACAGCAAATTTTCAATCTTTTTGCTTCTGGAGGGTGGGGGTGTTGGTTGAGACAGGGCTCGCTGTGTAGCTTAGGCTGGCCTTGAACTCCATGTGTAGTCCAGGTTGGCCAGAGTGCTGGGATTACAGGTTTGTGCTACCAGGGCCAACCTGCCTCTAGCCATTCTGAGGTATATGAAGTGCTATCTCTATGTGGTTTTAATTACCTGATGGCTAGCTGGGCTCAGCATTTGTGGATATGCTTCTCAGGTATTTGGATATCCATTTTTGTATTTTTGCCCACCAATTTTTTCAAAATTTTGAGACAGGGTCTCCCAAGTTGCCCAGGCTGACCTTAAACTCATGATCCTACTGCCTCAGCCTCAAGACTCCCTGGGATTACAGGTATGCACCACTGCACCCAATTCCAAAAACTGCTTTTGACTTTTTTTTTTTT